ATCTCAAACTCCTCAGTCGCGTCACGGCCCATGAAGTTCATGATAGCCTGGGGACCACCCGGGTGCTCCTCCAGCCAGTTGGATAGATCCATCACGACGCCCTTGACGACGACCCACAAGTCCTCCTTTGTGTTGTGCTTTGCAACCTCCTCCATGGAGAACTCCTTCTCGGGAATGGTGAACTTCTTGGGGTCGTTGGGCTTGTCGGCCTTCTGTCCGTTCTGGACGGGTGTGGGGCCTGCTGCCGAAGTGGTCTGTTGGGCAGGAATGCCCTGGCCACCAGCACCACCGGCGTTGTTCCAGTCGATCGTCAGACGGCCAGGCTGGGCAGGGTCGAGGTGCAGCGAGATCTGTCCCATACGGGCGGCAGCACCACCAGCGCCGCTGAGGGCCTGCTGGAAGAGGTAGTTGCTGGCAGTGTCACCGGCAACACGGCCGTAGACGACACAGCCAAGGAGAGAGGAACCACCAAGACGGTTAGCACCGTGGACACCACCAGCCAGCTCACCGCAAGCGTAGAGGCCGTCGAAGGGCTTCTGCTCAGAGTTGAGGACCTGGGCCTTGTCGTTGATCTCGATACCTCCCATGGTGAAGTGGAGGACGGGCTCCATAACGGCGACGTGGAAGGTGTCGTTGATGTCGAAAGGCAGGTTGTGGAAGAACTTCTTGCCCCAAGGGTCCTTCTGCTTGCCATCAGCGATGGCATTGTAGGTCTGGAAAGACTTCTGGAGGTGGTCAGGCGAGCAGCCAATCTCCTTGGCCAAGTCCTGGCCGCTCATCTTCTTCATCAGACCACGGCCAGAGTAGTGGCGAGTGTGGAAGTCAAGCACATTTGAGGCCTTGGAGTTGAGGACAAGTCTGATAGGGAACTTGTTCTTGTCCTTCTCCTTCCACATCATACCGGAGACGTAGTCACGGTGGCCAAGCTCGTCGCAGAAACGGTCACCGTCAGCGTTGAGCAGGAGACCACCTTCACCACGAAGAGCCTCAGCAGCCAAGAACTTCCACTTGGAGCCGGGGTCCTTGGGGTCGACCAGACCGGTAGGGTGGACCTGGACCTTGTCCATGTCAATACCGTTACCACCGATGGCCATGACCATCTTCTGACCATCACCAGTGGCGTGGGAGCCGTTGGTGGTGGCGAGGCCAAAGGTATCGGGACGGTGCTGCTTCAGCAGAGAGGTGTCGCCGAAGTCAGCGGCGTAACCACCAGTGGCAAGCACGACGGGGCCGTCAAGCCTCTGCTCCTCTCCGCCGAACTCGTAGTTCACACCAGTGATGGTGTTTCCTTCCTTGTTCAGGCCGGTGACGCGGGCTTTCTTGATGATCTCGACTCGGTGGGGCTCGGTCTCGGCGAGTTCCTCGAGTCTTTGCATGAGAGCGTAGGTGATGGCCATGCCGGGGAACTTGGCATCGTGACCACGGTGCGTACGGGGCTGGGAGTGACCACTGGTGGAAAGTTAGTCGCAGTAGCGGCGAGGGGCCCGCAGCATGGAAACTTACCCTAACCGCGAGACGAGAGTGAGGTCCAGGTTGAAGACATCCTGAAGCCACTCAACGGCAGCAGCGGACTTGTATGTAAGGACCTTGATGAGGTCGGGTCGGGCCTTGTCACGGGCAGACTTCAACGTATCATCGTAGAATTGCTTGACGCTGTCGGCAATCTTGGTGTCAACCTGTGTGCGGGTCAAGGCACCGTTGATGCCGGAGGTGGCCTTTGTGGAGTTGCCTCCGAAGAAGCCTGATTGCGACGGAGTCAGTATTGCGACTGTTCGCGATGCGCAGTTCTTGAGGCTTACCCTGCTTGTCGAGAACAACGACGTTGCCACCAGCGAGGTAGATGGTGTGCGCGGCACTCAAGCCGGAAACTGAAAACACACGTTAGCATGTGACGGCACGCCTCAGAAGCGAGTTTGGAGAGAGAGATGCCACTTACGACCACCGCCGACGACGATAACTCTGGGTGCCATGTTGATTGATGTGTACAGATGCGCTCCAAGAGAAAGGATGGAGAATCAACAAAGAAGATGGAGTAGATGAAGTTTGTGGGGGGAATGGAGGAGAGTTTATGGAGGTCGAGGTTTAAGAAGAAAACGGGGAGATGGACGAGAGCGTGTGAGAGGAGCGTCCCAGTCGCCTTCGTGTCTAAGCTACGCCGAGGGACGATGGAGGTACCTCACAGCAGGGCCAGAAAGGTACGGGGTATGCGTACCGAGTACCTTGCAAACAAAGGGTGTGTTGCTGCGGCCTTGGGCGTGGTGCTGGTGCGGTGGTGCGGTGCGGTGCGGTGCTGACACGGCGAGTCGTGAGCCGAGGTCGAAGCGCCTGGGAGGGAACAGGGGGATTAGCATTGGGGATTTTCATGGGACTCGACTGGGCCGCCCGCCGTGGTGCTAGCGGGTTTGGGGCCAGTTTGGGTCTGGGCTGGGGTGCCGTCTGGGGCAGATTGGCGTCACCCGTCGCGGCGTGCCAGTAAGAATGCGCGAGTTGGTAAGGCAGTCCAGTGGTGGATTCGGATCGGGTACTTACAAGGACAGCAGCAGGTCGGACAAAGAGACACCTTAGGTAGACAATGGGATGCAACCGGAAAACACAGATTCTGGACAGAAGGGAAGCAACAGCAGCCTGCGCACACGAGGCAATTGACTCCGGCTACGGAGGTTTTATAAATATTTTGACGACGCTGCAGCAGGCGTAAGGGGGCCCTCTGCCTCTCGCAGCAATTCTGGCCGAATAGTACCTGGCTTCGCTCCTTTCGGTGGTGGACCGCGAAGAGCAAAACTGGGGGAAGTGTGGGGGGAACACCAAAACTGTTGAAGCTCCTACAGGGCCGCGATACGGGGTACGCAACAGGAAACTGACTACGGCATGCACTGGACTGGATCTGTCTTGCTGTTGTTGTTGGGGAAGCTGGCCACAATGGCCAACGGTAGGAGACGGATTGAAAAGAGAGCCAGCTAGAGTGCTACAGTGAGCGAGTGTGTGCCCTACCGTCGGTCGCTGCCCGTGGCTGGAGAAGGGATGGCAGATGGCAATTCGACGAGTCCCCTATCCGTATCCGTGGTGACCCGTCGTCGACTTGAGGCGTGCCGTTGAGCTTTAGGTTAGCTCTGACGGGCCACCCGACTTTCACAAGGCAATTGAGACCACGTTGGCGTGGAAGGCCGCGAAGAATTTTTTTCTGGCAGTTTCAGGCTCTTCCATTCTGACATGTGAAGGTTGTCGGTCACGGTCATGCTCGTGGTCACGCTGACGCTCATGCTTTATCCCAAGCTGAGGCGAGAGCCGCTGCGCTGTCTGTGTATGCGTCCCAAGGTTCCCAATTACCGGAGGCATCCCGTCACGCCGTCACCTCTTACAGCGAGCACAGGCTTCCGGTCCCCACCGCCATGGCACCCGGAACGCCAAAAGGCCAGCCAAATGTCATGCCTCGTGTCAAAAACGATGCAGAAGAACCCCGTCTTTGCGGTGAACAGGTGAATCTTGATAGTCTTCAACGCCACCGCCCATTGGAGACAGGACAGTTTCCAAAACCCTTCTCTCCAGCCTCCTTGCAGACGCGATCTAAACAATGCGCCAACACTAGAGGCATTGCGGCTGCATCGAGCACCTGTTTGCCCCCTCTCTTCACGGGCTACAGACAGACTAAGGTAGTCTCACCCACACAAGCCTCTTCCCCCACACATTCTCCCAAGTGCATCAGGTCAGATGATGCCGGTCCGGAACTTTTAGCACCTGACCGAGGATCTTCCACTCCCACTGGCACTTTCCCCAGCTCGGCCAGCCTGCCACCTGCATTGCCGTCCCCTCTTTTCGGCCCAGCCTGGCTGCCGGGCGACCACTCAAGTCTTCCAGCTTGTCCTCCACACTTGTGAAGGATGAGTTCCCTCCGCCTCTGCTCTGTGCCTCCCACGTAAGGTACTACCTGTCCCCCCTCCGTTCTGGGGCATCTTTGGGGGGCATTTGGGGGCTGGAGTTGGAGTAGGTACTTCGAGGCAAGCAGATACGGATAGCCGTGCAGCGCTGTACAGCGCAGGACAGAGACGGCGCAGAAGCACTTGCATGTGAAAGAAGAGCTCGGGACAGACGTGCGGGCGGAACGGACATGGTCAGATGCTTGCTCCTTCTCATCGCCGACAATACAACATCCGACTTGCCACCTGTTCGTTCGTTTCATTCGTCTCTTTCATGAATCATGGATTTAATAAACGGTCATGTATGTTCGGATTCCATTGCGCTATTGAAGAGCCAGTGGCTATCAATTTGATGGTCAGCGGTTCTCAAACTTTTGCAATGCGAATTGCTGGTTGGTACTGCTGCGTCTATTGCTGAAAGCCCTTGTCTTCATGTTCGAATATAGCAATAAATTCCGACCTCTCCCCGTCGCGCATCTTCACCTTCTCCGGCCGGCCTGGCAACCCGCAACCTGGCACGCGCATGTGGAGAACGAAATCGAACGAGCCGTCTCCGCAATCGCTGCTCCTGCGAGACAAAAGGCTCCGAAGCCCTGCCTCACGTCTTGAGACATTGTCTTCGTGCTCGGTGAATCTCGGCGACTTCACTCACTTTCCGCTGAGGAAGGAAATGAGGTACTTGCCAGGCGCAGTAACGCCGGTTCAGGCTCGGAATCTATGCGATTTGTTCTGAAATATCGTTTGGGCAACTGTAGATGTGTCGCGCAGTCCACGTTGCTGTCTGCCCCAAACGTCGCAGGTGCAACAGCAGGTGGAAGGCACCGTACACAGCGACTTAGGTGATGTCATGAGACATGCAGCCAATCAGAACCTGCAGATTTCCAAAAAATCTGGTCCCGTGGGGAATCCAGCTGCCGCATCATCCTGCGTAAGGAGCTGCCAAACACCTTTCCAGACTGCGCTGCAGTGACGTGCACCACCAGAGGTTCAAACCAGTTTTGCTGCCAGTGCACCTGCCTCCGTGAAAACCGCTTGGGGCGTTCGTTTTTCTGATCTGACCGTTGGATATCCGGCCCTGAAAGCATCATGAAACGGCCTACCGCCCTTCTTGTTCTCCTATCCTGTTCCGTAGCCACGGCGCAGTTGATGACCTTGCCCGTTGAACGCTCCGGTCCGTACGCTCCCCGCATTCTCCGTCAGAAGCCACTCGCCCCCGTGAACCCTATCGGCCCAGCCATGCCGCCCTCAGACCCCTCCGACTCCCAGCCGCCTCCGGCACAGGACGGCGTCAGGCTCTCCGATGTGATGGGCCGCGACAGGAGCATCAACGTCTTCGCCAGCTTCACTCGCGACATCGAATCCGCTTCTCGCAGGTTAGACGACCAGACTCAGAACACAACGGTGCTTGCGCCGCTCAACTCCGCCGTCGAGAACTTGCCCCGGAAGCCTTGGGAAGACCCCAAGGAGTACCAGCACTTTGGCGAAAGCGCCTATGAGGGTGGTGATGGGCAAGAAAGAGCGCAGAGAAACATTCGCAGATTTGTTGAGGCGCACATGGTTACAGTCAGCCCGTGGCCCGAAAACCACAAGGCCAAGGCGATAGGTGATGATAGAGATATCTGGTGGGAGAGCAAGGACGGCACCAAATTTGTGAGTCCCCTGGTTTATTGCTTACTTTGCGCAATCACTAAGCGTACCCTCAGATCCAGCCTGGCAACATCGAGGTTGTCAACGTCGCAAGCACCGTCGCGAATGGTGAAGTGGTAAGTTTTCCCGCTTGCCAGCAAACCGACCTAGGCGCTTTGGTATCATGGACTGATTGGTGTGCAGTGGATCATCAAGGAAGTCCGAAACTATGTCTGAGGAATGCGCGACGTGAGCTGGCAGGTCCAGATATGAGTAGGATGACTGATGAGAGAATAATCGGATACCCGCAGTTTGCAAATCAAATGAACATTTATATCATAGCTTCCCTGTGCGCCGAGGTGCGGGAGACAATGAGGCGGACGTCGCAGGTGCAAACACGATGAACTCTGAGCGATGCATCTTCAAGGGCTCAAGCCACAGGCAAGCTGGTGGAGCACACGTCTTCAGAGAACCAGAGCACACATTCATCGTTACACGGCATAGAGTGAGTCAGTCGTCAAGGCATTTGGCTTCACGACCAAGCAAATCGCAAGCATCGCGTATCCACGGCAAAAAACGGAACATCAGATGAAATCGCTGCTGCTCCAAATCCGGTTAGCGGGCCATAGAGCTTGTCGATAAGATTCTTATCTCCACGTGACGCGGCAAAAGCCGCACCCGGGCAGGCTCTCTCATTCCAATCAACCAGGAAGGGGTTTGAGCAAGGTGCAAGCTCATCACGAATTTTCCAAACGTGACGTTGTTTCTGACCCTCATTCCCGCCTTCCGAGACCTATCACCCTGATCCTCATGTAGACAGAGAATAAGCTACAGTGTCATCAGTCTGTAAGTCTCGCTAGACCTGTGCGCAATCCTCCTCCCCTAAGCTCCCGGGCGACGCAGCAAAGCTTGCGCGGTTGACGATCCAGCCCCCCCTCTCGGGACGCTTGCGCCAACTTCCACAGCCCCTCCTGTCTCGCTATCCTCCCGCATTCGCGCATTCGCGTCGCTAACTTTTGCATTCTCAGAAGACGATCGATCTCAGGATGATGAGCGGGAAACCCGCCGGAGAGGGCGGCCTTGAGTCCATCGAGGAGAACCGTCGCCTGATGGCCATGGAGGCCGAAAGGATGGAACGACGCGACAAGGAGCGACGTGAACAAGAGCGACACGAACAGGAACAAGCCGAAAGACGACTTCGCGAGGGCTATCCTGCCGGACCTCCCCATCACAGCAATGCCGGCTCGATCCCTATACACCAGCCGGTCGCATCACGCGCCATGGGCGCAATCCACAGCCCTGGCGGTCTGCTGGCAAACCACGGCTCAGGCTCCTCCGGCCCTCCTATGCCACTCGGCGCCCCATCCGGTCCCGGCGCGAACTTCGGCGGCCCCCTTCAGCCCGACAACAACAGGCCGCCGCAACACGGTGGCCCGAACAACCCGAATGCCCAGCATCAGATGTTCGCCCCCATCCCTCATACGACCGGGCCCCCGAGCAACTCCCTGGGGGCCGCGAACGGAGGCCCCCCTGTCTTCGGCGGACCGCTCCAACAACGCGAAGGCCAACCACCGATGCAACAAGGTCCCTTTGGCGGCGGCGGCGGCGGCGGTAACAGTGGCAGCGCCGGCGCTGGTGCTGCTGGAGGCCAAGGTCAGATGCAGCAGCAAGGCCAGGGCGGCATTGCCCATGGCCAGCAGCCAATTTTGAACGTAAGTCTAAATTTGCTTTATGAATTTCGCTCAACCAGAACACACCATTTGTTGGCGCGCCTGCTACTTGTGGCTTGACCATCCAGAGTGGAAACCAGTGTGGGCTGGTGCGCCGATACGGCGCAGGTCAGGCAGGATGCATGGTCGCCCCGCGTGCATATTCCCGTTGTCGCCCAGGGTCTCGCGCCTCGCCTCGCCTCGTATTCCGTCTTTGTCTTTCGCGTGTACACTTCATCCGATTGCAATCACTACTGTCGCTTCATTCATCTCATCTCCCTTCGTAATCTAACAATCGAATGCATCCTCCGCGATGGCGACGGGAGAGCACGGCATGGTTCAAGTAACGCTTGGATTTCGGCCTGTAGGGGTTGCGACTGAGATCATGCGCTGACGATGTTTGACAGGATGCCTTGACGTATCTGGATCAGGTCAAGGTGCAGTTCCACGATCAGCCGGATGTCTACAATCGATTCCTTGATATCATGAAAGACTTCAAGAGTCAGGCGTACGTGTAATGAAGATCTTCCTTTACCGTGGCATCACTGACGATAGCAGCATCGATACCCCCGGTGTCATCAATCGTGTCTCGGAGCTTTTCGCTGGCCATCCCAACCTAATCCAGGGCTTCAACACATTCCTGCCGCCCGGATACCGAATCGAATGCGGCGCTGGGAACGATCCGAATACCATTAGAGTAACGACACCCATGGGTACGACGGTTCAATCGATCGCTGGCCGGGGCGCGCAGGTCGATGGCGGACACGCGCATGCTGGAGGCGCTTCGCAATCGCTCTTTCCCCAGCGCGGCCCCAATTGGCAGCAACAACAGCAGCAGCCTCAGCACAGTATCGAGAGTCCGGAGGCCAATTTCAGCACGCCTGTTCAGAATGGCCCCGGAGGTTTTGGTCAGCAGGCTCAGAATCTGGCTGCTGCCTTTGAGGCTCAGGGTGCTCAGCAGCGTGGCCCTCAAGCTCAAGGCGCGCACCCTGCCAACTCTCAACAGCCGCCTCGCAACGCGCATACCCCTACTCCGGTCACCGGACCCGCAAATGTCAACGGCAACGCAAGCCAGCAGCAACAACAGCAGGCAAACCTTGAACGCCGCGGTCCTGTCGAGTTCAACCACGCGATTAGCTACGTTAACAAAATAAAGGCAAGTTTACCTGCAAAATTCACCCACCACCGCCGCGTCAAATTCTGAGACCTCGCGCGCTAACCACGCTGCAGAATCGCTTCCAGGACAAGCCAGAAATTTACAAACAATTCCTCGAGATCCTTCAAACCTACCAACGCGAACAGAAGCCTATTCAGGACGTGTACGCTCAAGTCACTACTTTGTTCCACACCGCACCGGACCTGCTGGAAGATTTCAAGCAGTTTTTGCCCGAGTCCGCCGGCCAAGCGAAGGGTACACCTGGCCGTCCAGGAGAGGAACAACCGCCTGGTCCTGGTCCGAACCAAACTCCGCAGCCCATGGGTGCACAAAAGATGCCCCCTTTGGGCAGCTTCGCACCCCCGAGCGCTTCCAAGGAGAATAACAAGAAGCGCCCGAGACCCGACAAGCAGACGCCTGTTCCCGCGCCTGCCGTCTCCGAAGTGCCGCCCCCAGTGATGCGAGCAGCACCCGGCGCAGCTCCCCCAACCGGCGCGAACAACAAGCGGGCGAAGCTTGCACACAACAAGGCTCTGACTGCTGATGCGCCAGCGGTCGAGCCGACGTTGACGCCGATCCTGCCTGAGCCTCTGGGACCCCCAACAGCTACCACATCGAACTCGGACGAGATCGCCTTCTTTGAGAAGGTAAAGAAGTATCTTGGCAACAAGACAGCTTTCAACGAGTTCCTCAAAGTTTGCAACTTGTTCAGCCAATCCATCATCGATCGCAACACGGTCTTCCACAAGGGCAGTGTCTTCTTTGCTGCCAACCCTGAACTTATGGGATTCTGGAAGGCTTTCCTGAAGTATGAGCCGCATGATGAGGTCGTCGACAACCGCCCTGCTCCGCCGAGCGGCAAGGTTTCCTTGAGCAACTGCCGCGGCTACGGTCCTAGCTACCGTCTCCTGCCAAAGCGGGTATGTGTCAAATCTACAAAGAACCTGCGCCTGTACTGACTCTTGAATAGGAACGACTCAAACCCTGCAGCGGTCGCGACGAACTCTGCAACTCCGTCCTGAACGACGATTGGGCTTCTCACCCTACGTGGGCCTCCGAGGACTCAGGATTCGTTGCCCACCGCAAGAACGGATTTGAAGAAGGCCTTCACCGTATCGAGGAAGAACGTCACGATTACGACTTCAACATTGAGGCGAATTTGAAATGCATCCAGCTCTTGGAGCCTGTTGCTCAGCAAATTAGCGTCATGTCGCCAGTTGAGCGTGAGCATTTCCAGATGCCGCAGGCGTTGGCCGGCCACAGTACGTCTGTGTTCAAGCGCGTCTGCAAAAAGATCTACGGTGATAAGGGTCCTGAGGTCGTCAACGATTTGTTCTCGAACCCGCTCAATGTGGTTCCGATAGTTTTGACTCGCATGAAGCAAAAGGACGAGGAGTGGCGCTTCTCACAGCGTGAGTGGGAGAAGGTGTGGCATGCGCAAGTTGAGAACATGCATCTCAAGAGTCTTGACCACATGGGTATCTTGGTGAAGCAAAATGACAAGAGAAATCTCTCTGCCAAGCATCTCGTCGACGTCATCAAGACGAAGGCTGAGGAGCAGAAACGTCAGCGCAGCCTGAAAGGCAAGGCCCCGCGCCACCAGCTCGTCTGGGATTTCTCAGACAAGAAGGTTGTTATCGAGCTTCTCCGTCTGATGATGCTTTACACCGTCAGTAGTGGCCAGCATAGCGTGCCCGAAAAGGAACGCATCACAGAATTCTTTGAGACCTTTATCCCCGCCTTCTTCGATATTCCTGAAGAGGAAATCGAGGGACGCCTACCCAGACTGCAGGATGTCTCGGAAGAGGACGATAACGAAGAGTCAGTCCCGGCGGAGTTGACCAACGGCCGCAGCCGCCGTACCGGTAGAAGGGGCGACTTGCTTCGCGGCGTTCTGGATCCTGGGCGCAATGGCTCCAAGCCTCGCGGGCAGAAGGAGGGGAGTGCGGCATCCGGCAGTAAGGAAACTACTCCAGAAGTTGGTTCTGCCAACGAAGAGGAGATGCCCGACGCACCCGAAGAAGGTGCTGGACCCGAAGTGTCCAACGAGCGCTGGATGCCCATCGTCCCTCAGCCAATTGTTACCACTGGTGACGATACTCTGCTGACTGCGGATGGCGAGCTGAAGGCAGATGGCTTTTTCTCTAGGCCATGGTATAACTTCTTCTGCAACCAAACCATCTTCGTCTTCTTCAACGTCTTTCAGACTGTTTACACCCGCCTGAGGGACGTGAAGGAGAGTAAAGAGAGCGTCATCGAGGAGATCAATCGCCAAAGCCGGCCGCGTCCTGCCAAGGACATTGGGTTGGCAGATAACACCCTGAACTACTTTAGTCCTCAGGATGATGCTTCAACATTTTGGCCAAAGACCCTCGACCTAGTGGAGGAGTATATTGCCGGCGACATTGACGAGGTCAAGTACCAGGATGTACTGCGCCACTACTACCTCAAGAGTGGGTGGAAGCTTTACACCATTCAGGACCTCTTGAAGACTCTCTGCCGTCTGGCCTTGACCTGCAGTAGCACTGACGCCAAGGAGAAGACGCCGGATTTGATTCAGCAATATCTTCACAGCCGCGAGAAGGACGAGACCAACTACCAGGCGGAAATTGCCGCCAGGAAGTATGCAGAGAAATGCGTCAAGGATGGAGAGATGTTTGTCATTTGCTGGGTAAGTCTGAATCAACAACGGTTTTCATCGCCATCTAACCAAAATTTAGTTCCCGCAAAAGACTGAGGCGACTGTTCGCTGGCTCCAACGTGAAGACACGACATTCTACATGGATGAGATGAAGGCGAAAGACCGCTGGCAATATTACATTTCATCCTTCATCCAAGTCGAGCCGACCGAAGGTGTGCCTCGCCACAAGCTCCAGAAGGCTGTCCTGGCAAGGAACTTGCCAGCCAGCGACGAGAAGTTCGATGAAAGCCAGATCCCCAAGCCGATTTCGTACGATGAGGACCTTTCTATCAGCATCTGCCTCAACACGAGCAAGATGGTCTGGAAGGCAGGGACGTCTGAGTACTTTGTCTATGACAATATTCCTAAGGAGAAGGAAGCTCGGGAGCGCCATCTCGAGAGACTGAAGAACGCAAGCAACAAGCGCGACACCAAACTTCGTGAGAAGTTTGTCTTCAACAGCCCGTGGATGAAAGGCATGAGCCAGGCGGACGTGCAAAAGTCCAACGAGGGCTGGTCAAAGTGGCTCAAGGAGGGCGTTCTCCCGTCTTCTGAGGCCGGCGACGCCATGGACACTGCGGATTGAAACAACTTTGCTTACGCTCGGCCATTGCGGATTCCGGGAGGACAGATGTGTCTTGTGGGAAAGTAAGGGGACTAGGTGAAGAATGCATTTCACAATTACGAAGATACCAGGCGGCATAGCGGTGCTGAATGGCTGGCTGCCATGTTACCCAGGGCTCACATGGATTTATCTTTAAATAACCCTCATCCCGCCTAATTCTTTTGGCCGGGGGGTTTTGGCATGGCGTGGGATTGGGTCATCGGCGTTTTACTTCATTCCTTCAAGTTTTTGTTTCTACCGCGCCTTGAGGGGATGGGTAGGGAGAGAGAGAGAGAGCAAAGAAAAAAGGAGGCGGTCTTCTCAGCTGGAGGGATACTTCGTTGTCTTTCAGTCCTTTTCCCATTTTCTTTCCTTCTCTACTCCCTTGATGTACAATAGTTATTGTAGTTGCACAAAAGAGTTATGCATACGACGAACACTGCTGCCCGCGGCAAGAGATTAGTGATCTCCATGAGATGAGTGATCCTTGGACGTGTGGTCCACCTCGGCCGATTGCGCGGCACCAAATCAGGTCTCGTCACTCGGCTTGGATCCATTGCCCCCCTTCCTCCCCACGAGCTTGATTATCGAAAAAATCTGATAACTCGAGCAGCACAGCCACGCATGTAAGGATGCGACGCATGTGGAGTATCACGACAGGAACTAGCCGCCAGAAAAAGGCGCAGATCACGGCAGATGGGAAGCTTTTGGGAAAAGATGCAGTCGTCTGATTCGTGATATTAGGTAAAAAAAATCTGCAACGGGGTGGCCCGATGCGTTATATCTAAAACGCTGGTATACTGAAACTTTTTTTGCCGCGAGGATAATACAGGAACCAAATGTGACCATCTTCTCCTTCTTTTTTGGTGCGTCAAATAATCTGCAGAAACGGGCGGGGGGAGTCATGGCCGGCGGCGCGGGGCGCGCGCAAGTCGCGGCACCTGCTCGATGGAGGGGTCGTGGCCTGGTTTTTGTTTTTTTTCTCGTTCTTCAGCAGGGAACCCCACCATGCCGCCAGTCCCCACGTTCTCCGAGTGAATTCAAGGTCCTCTCTAGTGAATTACAGACCCGCACCAGCTCGGAGCTCCGAGAACGTTTGCAGTTTAGCATGTGCTTTGCGCAGCTTATTGCAGGTTCTCGATGACAATGGCAGAGGCGCCGCCGCCGCCGTTGCAGATACCGGCAACACCAATCTTGGCCTTCTTCTCGCGGAGAACGGTGGTGAGGGTGGTGACGATGCGGGCACCGGAGCAGCCCAGAGGGTGACCAATGGCGACGGAGCCACCGAAGACGTTGACGGTCTCAGGGTCGAGGTTCAGGAGCTTGATGTTGGCGAGGGCGACGACGGAGAAGGCCTCGTTGATCTCGTAAAAGTTAACGTCCTTCTCGGTGAGGCCGGCGTGCTTGATGGCCTTGGGAATGGCCAGCGCGGGGGCGATGGTGAAGCGCTCCGGCTCGCGGGCGGCGTCAGCCCAGCCGCGGATCTTGGCGATAGGAGTGACGCCGAGCTCCTTGACCTTGGCCTCGGACATGAGGACAACGGCGGCAGCGCCGTCGTTGAGGGGGGCAGCGTTGGGGGCCGTGACGGTACCGCCGTTGGGGATGAAGGCGGGGCGCATGGCCTTAAGCTTGGCCTCGTTGAGGTTCTTGACCTCGTCGTCACGGTCGACCGTAATGGCGGGCTTGCCACGGCCGCCAGAGACCTCGATGGGGGCAATCTCCTTGGAGAAGATGCCGGCATCGGTGGCGGCCTGGGCCTTCTTGTAGGTGTTGATAGCGTACTCGTCCTGCTGCTCGCGGGTGATGTCGTGGTCCTTGGCGCAAAGCTCAGCGGCCATGCCCATGTGCTCCTTCTTGCCGTAGGCGTCGGTCAGACCGTCCTGGAGGACACCGTCGACGAGGGTCTGGTTGCCGTACTTGGCACCGTTGCGGAGAACGGGGAGGTAGTGGGGGGTGTTGGTCATGGACTCAGTGCCACCGGCGACGACGATGTCAGCGGTGCCGGTGAGGATAGTCTGAGCGCCGAGGATGATGGCCTTCATGCCGGAGGCGCAGACCTTGTTGACGGTCGTGGCGGCGACTCCCTGAGAGAGGCCGGCTCCGAGAGCACACTGGCGGGCGGGGGCCTGTCCGAGGCTAGATGGCGACAGAAGGTCAGCAAACTTGTTCGTTTTTGCAGCTTTGCAGCTTATCCGTGGGGTCTGACATACTTGGCGGACAGGACGTTGCCGTAGATGACCTCCTCGACATCCTCGGGCTTGATCTGGGGAACACGCTCGACGGCGGCTGTTGACGAGGGGTTAGCGGTGGACTGCCCCGCGCTTGCTCCGGACCGTTGATAAGACATTTACATACCCTTGATGGCGTGGGAGCCCAGTTGCGTGGCGCTCAGGCTAGACAAAGAGCTGTACAAGGCAGAACATTAGCTTCTTGGTCCAGGCGGTGAACATTTCTTCTTCTCCGACGGGGTAGGGTCCAGACGTACCCAAGGAAAGAACCGACGGGGGTTCTGGCGGCAGAAACAATGTAAACGGGGGGAAGGTTGGCCATTGTGAACGTCGTGCAGGTGAGACTCGAGGTGTTTGTAGAATGGAAGATTGTGTCGAGGGCAGAGCCGGGGGACCGTCTTGTTTATGTGTGACCTGGAGAGAGCAAGCAAACAAATTGAAGCAAACAATTTTGTTGGGCGGCAGGTCACTTATTAGGAAGACGTGCTTCTAATCATCCACCCCTCCCACCGCCGCCTTTTCTGATGTTTGGTGGGGTTGCTCCGACCGGACCCTAGCACAGCTGGGACGTTGCGGTGTCCCGTCCGGGTCCCTGTGGCGCAGTAGCTATGAGGGAGCACTGACACCCTGCCGGTCCTAGTGTACCTGCTTCCCTAGCGCGAGAAGCGAAGCCAGGGAGTAAGCATATCGCAGCAGTTCCAGCCTCGCAGCCACACAGGTGCACTAGCCACACTGCAGCCTTGCAAGAAAGTTTGTGAGGCCAGGGTCATTCTAGGCGCGACTCTGCGATTGCGACCGCGACTGGGTCGAGATTTATCGTCATTAGACAAACGGCAACGACAAACTCCACCCAAGCATTTAGACGCCACAATGGACGACCTATACGATGAGTATGTCCTTTCTCCTTTACTTCGACTTTGGCATCAGACTGACTTTTCCTGCACAGGTTCGGTAACTTCATCGGCGAGGATGTCGGTTCTGAAGAGGCGTCTGAAAGGGGCGTGGATGCCCACTACTATGGAGACGATGCGAGCGAGGCACCTGCGCCTACGGGCCAGGAGCTGATGGAGATCGATGGTATTTACTCTGCACTATTCTCCAGTGAAGTTGATGCTGACATCATGACAGACGACGGCCCGTCGAATGCGATCATCCTGCACGAAGACAAACAGTACTATCCCACCGCGCAACAAGTATACGGAGACGAGGTCGAAGTTCTAGTTCGGGAGGAAGATGAGCAGCTTCTTACGCAGCCCATAATTGCTCCTGTTGAGCAGAAGAAGTTCAACATCGAGGAGACCGATCTGCCACCCGTTTTCTTCGACCGCAGCTTCATGACCGACCTCATGAACTTCCCCGATCAAATACGAAATGTGGCGCTGGCAGGACATCTCCATCACGGCAAGACAGCATTCATGGACATGCTGGTTCTCGAAACCCATGACATTACCGACAGACTCGAGCGCCGCGTTGGCAAGAACCGAGACGAGCAACTTCGATACACCGACGTCCACGTAGTCGAGAGGGAGAGGGGAGTTTCGATCAAAGCAGCGCCCATGAGCCTGGTGCTCCAGAGCACAAAGGGCAAGTCGCATCTGGTCAATATTCTTGATACGCCGGGTCACGTTAACTTCGTCGACGAGGTGGCGGCCAGCTTGCGACTGGCGGATGGTGTCTGCCTGGTCGTTGACGTGGTGGAAGGCGTTCAGGTCAACACGGAGCAGATCATCAAGCACGCGGTTTTGGAAGATATCCCGCTTACGCTCATCATCAACAAGATGGATCGCCTCATTCTTGAGCTGAAGCTACCCCCTAAGGACGCGTACTTCAAGCTCAAGCACGTCATCGAGGAGGTCAACACAGTCATCGAGAACACCATCCCGGGCAAGGGTGAGACGAAACGGATCAGTCCTGAGAAGGGAAATGTTCTTTTCGCGTGTACCGACATGGGCTGGTGCTTCACTCTGCAGTCATTCTCAAAGATGTACACCGACACTTACGGCGGTATCAACACCGAGGATTTCGCGAAGAGGTTATGGGGAGACATCTACTTCAACCCCGAGAAGCGCAACTTCACGAGAAAACCGACAGAGACTCGCTCAAGCCGTTCGTTCGTCAAGTTCGTCCTGGAACCGATTTACAAGATCTTCACCCATACCATCAGCGACACCCCTGAAGAATTGAAGAGAGTGTTGGGCACACTGGGCATCACTCTGAAGCCATCTCAGTATAAGGCCGATGCCAAGGTCTTGTTGAAGCTGGTGTGCGAACAGTTCTTCGGTCCGTCAACGGGCTTTGTCGACATGATTGTGCGACACGTCCCATCACCGCAAGAGGCTGCTGAGAGATATCTGGAGAAGTACTACACTGGACCACTGGACACTAAGGTTGCCGGGTCCATGAAGGCCTGCAACCAGGACGGGCCTCTTGTGATTCACGTCTCCAAGTTGTTCAGTACGGCAGATGCCAAGAGCTTCTACTCTTTCGGTCGTGTTTTGAGTGGTACAGCTCGCCCCGACTCACAAGTCAGAGTTTTAGGAGAAGGATACTCCACAGACGACGACGAAGATATGGCAATGGCAACGATATCAGATGTTTTTATCGGCGAATCAAGGTACAATATTCCCACGGACGGTGTGCCGGCAGGCAGTTTCGTGCTGCTGAGTGGTGTCGACAACTCGATCGTCAAGACGGCGACGATCTTCCCTCCAAAGCTAGAGGACAACGAGGATGTGTACATCTTCAAGCCCGTCA